ATCCTTGCAAAAGGTCATGGAAAAGACACTTGAACACATGGGCAGGAACGATTACAAGATGCCGCATATGCATAAAGATGCAACCATCAAGGACTTGACTCTGTTTAATGTCCATTGTGATCCTCTTGCCCTCGAGAATGCTCAGGCGTACTTGAGTGGTAGGTGAATTACCAAGAATAAGTAGGTTTGACAATAAAATAGATTTGTCATTATATTTCTGTCTTTGGTTCATACAATGTCAGAGTTCAATACAAACTTCAAGATATTTTTGGCCTCCTCCTCATACTTTAATCAAGACAAATAATGTGACTCTTTTTGTGGACCAGAGTAGTACGTGCTTAGACTTAACCTGTACAATAGCACAACCTAAACTATAGATACAAACAGGAAATGTATTGCTAAAGTTCAACTGGTGCACAAAAACTCGTAATAGATGGAATAGAGTGGAGATTCTTTAGCACTGAATAGATCATGATCATTTTTCCCCAAGACATATATTTATGATGCCATTTTCCAATGTTCCACGTACCTCACATCCGTATAAACATCCAGACATATCGGCTTGTGACCTTTCCTGCTGAGTACGAATTGGCATTACTGTACCGATTTCGGGGAGTTACGCAAGGCAGAGTCAAAAGGCCCGCGCTCCTAGTAGTTGGTGGGACCGCCTCGGCCTAGCCCATCAATTTTTCTAGGCCAGATACCGGCACTGTCTTGTTCCCTTGGTATTCGGAGGAGTCCCTGTACTCATGGTACTTGGCGGGAGGGGTCCAAAAATGCAGATCACAAGGACACATGGTATGAAAACACTAACTAGTATTCAATTTCTCAACTACATTTCTAGAAATAACTACTTCAGTCAATACACTCCGCCAACGTAAGGGAAACGTCGTATTCTGGATCCAAAGCCTCGAAAACACCAGTGTCGCAGAGTTCCTGCAAGACGTCATCGCCACTAGAGGCTTCGGGATCCTGTTGGGTATGGTCTACAAGAGCGGTACCAGGGTCAATAATTTGGCACTTTTCGAATCCTTTCACAATTGTTGTCGTAGGCAGTTCGTCCCAGACATCAGAGATCCACTCAACGATATCCCAGCGCTCAGGACACTACAGTCGAAACGCCCTGCCTCCGCCTCGGCCGTTAAGCTCAATTGATCGTCGTAGGTAGTCAACCCATTTACGTCGCATTGATGCTTTGATAGGTTTCATCCAAGCAACATCGGCGGGCTGGCATATCCATGTGAAAGTTGGCGGCACACGGTAGAGGTGTACTTGTAGGTCCTTCGCTCGTTGGACAACTTCATCAGTGAAGTGAGCGCTAAAGTCATCCCATAGGAGCAAGACTGGGTCCACGGCTTGGCCGCGTCGATGTCCAAAGTGGAAGTCAAGGAAGCGCAAAGAAATACCGACATTCTCCAGGCCGAAGGGTTCCCTTAGATTTGGAGTGGAAGGTTGGCTTCAAGGTCTTCGATTTCCCTCCAAACTTGACACCCAAAACCGTGACGTTGGGTAAGGTTTTCTTGAACAACTGCCTTGATTGTTGATGCTTTACTCTTCAGGACCAAAAACGGAGGATACTTCGTTCCCTTGGAATCGGCCAGAAGCATAGCAGTCACGCGATCCTTGTCGTGACCAGACGCCTTGATCCACACTGTATTGGCACCTTATTTGTCCATCGTTTGCTTTGGAAGGTATTCGTAGTTGATTCCTGTTTGATCTGCATTGAATACTTCGACGATGCGATTGTCCTTGATGACCTTCCGAGTAGACGTCTTTAACTCGGCAAGAGCTTTCTCTCCATCAGCAAGGTTCGCTTGGCCAGAGCGAGTCTTCGCTCGGATTGCAAGTCCCAACCGCTTCATGAACCCTTTCATCCATGATGGTCTTGCCTTGAACTGGTTCACTGCTAAGCCTTGTTCCATTGCCTTCCACGCGAAGAGAGTCTTCGATACAGGTATGCCATCTTAACGAAGTTCAGATACCCATTGAGCAATGATTTCCTCTGCAACACGGGCGAGCGTTGTAGATATGCCTTGCTTGCGTCGTATACGCATGTCCCGCGTTTGAGCCTTGGAACAAGCCATAGTGATGTGGTCCCGTTGTGATTTCTAGTGCAGGATCTGCTTCCAGTCTGTTGTGCGCTTGTCTCCCGCAACGCCGGGGAAGAACGTGTCGATGGCGGACTCCATGAAATGTTCTTTGTGCCAGTTGATTATATGAAGCTTTTTCTCATAGGTATGGTAGAGGTTTTTGTGCTTCTTGGTCATTCGCTTGATTTGCTTGGTACTAGGACGCCCAGTGCGTCGGCCATCGAATTCAGTTGGCGCCATTATTAAAGCAACTTGCCGCCTTTCTGCAAATCAATGCAAGATTTATAAAGTTTCATGGGTATTGTTTACGAACGAGGTATTGCAGAAAATATTATATTGACTGAATAAGTATTTACAGGCTTTTTCTCGTCGTAACTGACATGTCAACTAAAGTAGTTAATCTTCAAGTATTGTGGATCGATACGAATGTCCAGACCCCTTCGAATCGATCTCGCCACCTAATCGAATCACGAATCGACACTATTGGCTAATGCATTTTTGAGTGGATTTGATTGGGTCTTAGAGAAAGGACAAATATATTCAGCCCATCAGAACTCCGAGGTGATTCAATATTGGTTAGACAAACCAGGCGAATTTAAGGAAGTTTATAGCGAATTCACAATACTACGCTAAATGCTTTTAGTAGAAATGGGGTGAAACTGATGAGCACACTCATCGGTTTGACCCCATTTCTACCGGTTGCACTTGACATGAGGACTTTCACCCTCGCTGCATCACCTTGCCTTTATTCTTGCCTAACTAGAAAACTCATATGCTGTTCGTCTCGTCGCCACGCTTTTGTCATGCATTCGACCCAAATGTATGAAGTCTTGATGTCGTCACTTTGTTCTTTTTTCTTGACGACGCACTTTCGCAGGCGCGATGACTTCGACAGCGCGCATATCTTTCTTAGCGGTTTTCGACTCAGGGTTTTATTCACTCAAAAGTGATAAACAAGCTGTCGAAGGATCGTGTGGAAATGCTCATGTAACTCATGTACTGTACATCAAGACGAATTACAACTCATTCAAAGAATTCATCGATTCGTTTAGCGTATCCGAAGGTGAACATTCGAACTGATTAACTTCATATAATACACATTTGCCTTTTTAATGACTTCGAGCCAATAACATGAAGTAATAACACGAATTGTGCTGCATGCATCTTTTCTTTACTTCGGCGTTATCTGGCCAAATGGAGTACATGTCCGGATATTATATCCGGAGTCTATGTCTTGCGAGCATACAAAACTTAAGATAAAATGGGGGGTTTTAGCAATGATTCTTTTTGTTTTTTATGGTTTTACAAAAAACCAAAATCTCCTATTTTTCCACGATCATGGTTTTTTCCATCCCAGCACCCATCACATTCTCAGATACCAACCGAATCGACATGACCCTCACCGACAAACGCCGCAACTGGACGCCATGGCTTCCACATCCACCACACGATCTCGGTTGGGTGTGATAACGACATTAGGACCCCCAGCAAGGATGACAGTTGCAGGACCCCACGAACATCAAAGCGGAACGACATGTGTGGGTCAACATCACGCATGTTGCAGTCGAACCTCACGTCTGGATTGAGGGGTCGTTCCACCGGGATGCCAAGACCATACTCGACTAACTTAGCGTCATCATCGTGGTCGGGTGCAGCTTTTTGCGCTTTGCCTATTTGAACACTCGAAGCGCAATCTGAGACTCCTCTATAGTCATGTTGGCGAGAACTTTAATAACACGCCCATCGGATTTGGGCTCTAACGATATTAATAGTTTTGCTTTGGGAGTCAAGTTGCGAAACGACTAAATTTGCTCTCCCACTTCATTTCCCATACAACTGTGGGAATGGGAAATACACAAGTGACTTGCATGTTTTATGATGCCATTTATAAGTTCCTTGGAGTAAAGTCTACTTTGGTGACGTCACCGTGTTGTATTGGGAGTTGAAAACAACAAACCGCAAGTTGTACCATAGACACAATACAATTTGACTTTTAAGTCGAGCTCTTGGCTCCTACTTGCCACACGACGGCTTGACGTCTCCACCGTTGAACACGGTGACTTCCTTGGCGAATTGG